GATTGATTTTCACGAGTCATTTTTTTCTCGTCTACAAAAATTCTAATTTTTTTACGTGTGTCACTTTTCTATCAACACAGCGATGATATGTATCAGTACAATATTTTGAAGTTGCCATAAAATTATATAATACTTTTTCTCTCTATATTATTTAATGAAAGAAGACTTGTGCACGTACGAGGAATGCCTTAACACATGAAGTTGCACACGTATAAAAGAACGTATGAGAAATGAGAAGAAGGCATGAAAAAGCATGTCAAGACATTCCTGTTCCCATCTGTACACACAGTGCAGCGTCACAAATGCCTTAACGCTTTAACATGCCTTTTTATGCCTTCTCATTTTTTTCTGATGTCTTCTCATTCCTTCTCCGATACTCTCGCGCAACTTCGCGTGTTAAGGCATTTGTGACGCCATGTACAAGAGTGCTATGTCTTATTTTGAATTTTGAGTACGTAAAAATAATTTTTGTTTAAATCATACATAAAAGAGTTTATTGTCGCTGTTCCTCCTTGATAATCCAATTTCGAGTTAAGCAACAAGGGCTAAAAACTTTTGTACTAAGAATATTTTTCAATACTGATGAAATATTAGTCTGAGATTATTGCATTCTTTCGGTGAATACTATAGAGAAAGAGAGGGGAAGAAAGGGGTGAGTAAATGAGTAAATGAGTGAGTGAGCGAGTGAGCGAGCGAGCGAGCGAGCGAGCGAGAGAGAGGGAGGGGGAGGGAGAGAGAGGGAGGAAGGGAGAAAGAGAAAAAGAAAAAGAGCAAAAACAAACCAAAAATAAAGAATTTGTATACTATTTTGTCAGAATTAAATTACTTGTCGCGTTATGACAAAATGACATGAAAAGTACTGGTATATCTCATATAATTTATATTATAGACACATAAATTTTTCATAGCTAAGATAATATTAATATTATTTTCCAGTTTGTATACTAATAATTTTTTCTAATAATAAAACAATTGAATACCAGTTAAAAATTTAATTTAATTTGAAGTATTGATGATTCTTCATAATAACGACTGAGATATGAATATATAATATATATTATAGGTTTATGCATATTTTGAATTTTTTAATATTTCCTTCGTGCTGTGAATATTTGCTTCAAAATATAAACTGTTTTCATGAATAATTATTACCAAGTATAAAGTTAATTATAAATCTAAACTATTTCCATATTATCCAAATTTTTAATTCTTTAATTTAAATCATAAAATGTTTAATTGATATTGTTTTGTTAGTAGAAAGAATACTGAGTAATATCAGTATCGCTTTACGATAAAACTATATTTATGTGTCTGTTATAAATTATATACAACTGCACAACAGAAATTCACATTATATATCTTGTCATTAATAATGTGATAACAATTACATGTATGTACATATATGAGGCTATGGAGAAAAAAATTACAATAGCATTAAGTTCCTTTTTATTCATTGCAATTTAATTATAATAAAATAATATACAAACTCTTTCCTTTTTCTCTTGCTCTCAAATTTGATAAATTCCGAGTTTAGGTATAGCAACCTTTCTAATCATATATAATAAAACTTATAAAATCGCGCATAGAGACGTAAGATTTTGACTAAAATCTAAATGAGTAGACTAGACAAAATGAAATTAATTATATTCCTTTCGTCTACGTCTTTACTAGTATTAAATATTCACAATGTATTCTTATATTTTGTTACAAATATTCACAGCAAAAAGGAAGCTCCAAGAAAAATTCAAAGTATGCATAAACCTCCAATATATTTGCATCTTCATCGGTATTAAGAAAAATTATACAGTGATAATATATATTTTCATTAAGATTAAAGTATATCAAAAGACATAGTTATTGCGTTAAGTATTGGTATATCCATAAAAGATACTCTATTACGTATCTTTTTCAGGTCGAGCTTCATATTTCATTAGATATTTAGACATATATAATTTAGATATAAAATTTAGATAAATATACCTACGGGATATAAACTTTGTTAAATTTTCAATTTGTAAAGGCGAGCAGAATTTTCAGAAGGAATTTAGCTGTTGTAATTTTCTCTCGGTAGCCTCGTGTATCATGCGTGATGTTCATACTTTATGAGTTACAAAAGATAACGCAACCCTTGTACTTAACAAGTAAAAACAAGGTATTATTTCATTCAAATGCATGATACAAGAGTGCTCTTTCTTGCACCTGTAAATAGAAACCCTAGTTGGGGGAACTGGTTAAAATTAATACTTTTTACAAAAATATTTTCTATGTATCATACAGTTATATATAAATGAAACTGTTCATATCTATGTAATCTCTAATTCGCTATGATTTGTAAATAAAATATACTATTCTGCGATTGTTTATATTTTATACTTCTTTCATATTAAATATATATACTACAGGAACTTTCAGATAACATGGCATATAATCGGTACAAAATAATTTATTAAGTAATTATATATATTTCTAAAAAAAAAATATAAGTTATTTTTACTTGCTATGTGATAGCCAGATATATAACTAAAGTCTTATACATATTTTATGTACATATATTTCAGTCGTTTTACTTTTCAAATGATATTTTTTAATTATTCCTCACATAATTATGAGGTATACATGAAATATTAATTGAGCTGATAAAATCAAATATCAAAAGTTCCCGTCTCTTGAAGGGAAAAACATTAAGACGTTTAATTGTTTGATAGGCCAATAGAAAGGAAAAATTCTTACAACGGGAAAATCGTTATAAGTATAACTAACTACTATGCCATTCATTAAATAATGAATTAAAGTTTAACTGACATCTATAATGACATCTGACTAGTATTTCATACTTTGGATGCAAGAGACGAGAACCGCATTTTTCACATCAATCCTGTAAGTATGACAATCTATTTACAGTAGGAATAGAATAAACACGTTTAGAATAACAAAATATTTTTTTACTTAGATTTTCCTAAGATCTAGAAATTGTAGCTAATCATTTTCGTCTGCAGATAGTATTCTCTTTTTCAAGATTACTTTTTAATAATTACTACGATAATAATTTTAATTTTCTTCTCTTGACAAAACTTACACTGACAAATACATATTAAGTAAGCTCTATGCTATTGCACATGATGATTGCACATATCTATTAACATAAGACTGGAATTTAATTTAGTCTTTGATATACTTTCGTATATTTTTATAGTTAGTTTAGACATTAATTCATATTCATAGTTCATCATGAGGTGCTTCAAAAATAGTTTCTTTTAATCTTTCAATCAATAATACTAAACTCTTCAAAACGTCTGTTTCATCCACAGTGAGTTTAATATTAGGATTTTGATAAAAGTATAAGAGATTATTTATAACTGGTAAAAGCAAAAGCTCAATATTCTTAAATTCAGTTTTACAAATAGGAGATATCGTGATCATGCTATCTGAAACTACTTCGAGAAAATCATTATTTTCTATGCTAAATTGGCCAGTTAATTTTTCTTTGAAGCATTTAACCATTAAGTTACTTAGGAGTTTACAGTAATCGTGTCTCAGTAATTTTAGCTCAAAATCTGTAATAGCGTATTCCCTCATTCTCTGTTGACGCTGTTCGGCATCATGAATTTCTTCTAGGTTTCGTCTTTCGATTGTTAGATCGTTAATTAGTTTCATTGCTTTCATTTGTATATGTAATTGATCGTCGTATAAAATCTTGCCAAGTAACTGCAAACCGCCATGATCAATCCAAGCTTTCTGAGCAGCAGGAAACTGGCGTATTAAGGCACTTAGAGCAAAGAGACATCTGGATTTTACTTCAATTTTATTATTTGTAGACAAGACGTGCAACACTTTTTGAATAAAATCATTTTCCAATGCCTTAGCTTGCACTTTTGGATTTGATTGGGCGGCTGCTCCTAAAAGGCGTAATGCTTCCGATTTTATTTCATTATTAGTTCCATTAAGACATGGTGATATAATCTTAGTCAGCCTACAATAAAAAAAAGTTGATTAAAATTGTATTGGTAAATTGTTGTCTTCAAGAAAAATTATATTCATTTATATTTACCCATCCATGTCTGAGAATATTTTAGCATTGTCTATTTGATGAAGAAGATATTCTAAATTATTTAAAATATCCAATACTTCTTCAATCTCTATACTAGTTAACGTTCCTGTAGTGATACTACTTTTATAAGATTGAAATTTCTGGAAAAACCTTTTTAATAATTCTGAATCGCTTGTAACATTAACTTTAAG